CTGGAAAGCGATTTCTCTTCTACCGCACTAGACCGCCATTGAATGCGTTCACACATGCGTGACATACACGCATCACGCATCGTTTCGGGGTGGTCCATGGTTCCGGGTACCCGGGTATCATTTTTTTCCCGGGTATCATATGATACCCGGGTACCCGGACGGGTACCCGGGTACAACCTCGGGGACCCCAACGGGTACCCGGTTCCAACTTTTCCATCCGGGAGACCACCCTACTTTACAGCAGCTTTCGAATGAGCTATTGCTCAAGCTGTATGTCCTTGGCATCGCCGAGGTAGCCAGCATCGCGAGAAATCAGGTCGAAACCAGCACGAATCGCTTTTTGCGCCCGTGAGAAGGCGTGATGTGGAGCATGGCGGTTCTGATGAGCTCATCTCACAGCTGGGGAGCAGCTGGGGCGAAGGGGTTTCGCAGGATAATTTTAGCTCTGTGATACACCCGATGGTTCTGAAGAAAAACGCCAATTCTCATTTTTAGATACGTTCCCATTTCTCCCGCACCTATTTCTCCCGCAAGTCTGTTGCAGGTTGACTCGCTTCGCTCGAAACACTTCAAGGTATTTCGGGCGTGGTGCAGTGTGCGGTCACAGGCCAGTGCGGGTTGAGTCGCTTCGCTCGAAGGCACTTCACGGTATTTCGGGCGTGTTGCAGTGTGCGGTCCCAGTGCGGGTCGACTCGCTTCGCTTGCATGCACTTAACGGTCTTTCGGGCGTGGTGCAGTGTGCGGTCCCAGTGCGGGTCGACTCGCTTCGCTTAAAGGCACTTACGGTATTTCGGGCCTGGTGCAGTGTGCGATCACAGTGGTGCGGGTCGACTCGCTTCGCTCGGAGGCACTTCACGGGGGATCTCGGGCGTGTTGCAGCGTGAGGCCCCAGTGCGGTCGACTCGCTTGGCACTTAACGGGATCTCGGGCGGGGTGCAGTGTGTAAAGGCGTAGAGTGGCTTGGTGTGTTGTTGATGTAATCGGTGTGGAGTGAATGCGAGTGTGGCATCGTAACTCGCTTCGCTCGAAGACACTTCCTTCACGGTATTTCGGGCGTGTTGCAGTGTGCGGTCCCAGTGCGGGTCGACTCGCTTCGCTTGCATGCACTTAACGGTCTTTCGGGCGTGGTGCAGTGTGCGGTCCCAGTGCGGGTCGACGCGCTTCGCTCGTAGGAACTTAACGGTATTTCGGGCGTGGTGCAGTGTGCGGTCCCAGTGCGGACAGACCTGCATGTACTCAACGGGAGTTCATGCGCAGGCAATGTCATATGTTTCCCCTTCTCTAGGAAATCGCTTTGTTCACAGGTGTGGCTTTCTTCGCTCGTAGACACTTGGCTCCATGTGACAAAAGGATTTTGAATCGTTCGAACGCTTTGGCAAGTGCATAGATCTACTCCTCCTCGAAACGCCTTGCCCCACCCGAACCGTTGGACATAGACTATAGTGTACAAGAACTCCAGGCCACACACCCGTCCCCTCGCCTAGGGCATTGTACGTCTGTCTGTCTTTCATCCCGCAGAGTGGCGTGCGCAACTTGCTAACTCCCCTACGTCAACCGTAACTGTCGCCGGTGCTATGCTCATGTGTGCACCTATCTATGACGTGTAGTTATACCTATCCATGTACACGATTAGACTAGAGGAAGGGTTGACATTTGGACAGGTAGGTGGCGCTACTGCTGTAAGCAAGCTGTACGCTATCATGTTGGCTGTTGGAAGTGCGTGGGTCCTTCAATCCGTCCATGTTAGAGGTGACGTAACGAAGCGGTTGTGGTGCTGCATGACACCAGTAGTGATGGCCATGCAGGCGAGCAGGCTGGCACCAGTGGCTATTGTGGTGGCAGGCTGTTTGATTCTTGCTGCTGCTGTGTTGTGTCGTGCAATAAGTCAACCCTAGGTTAGGTCAGTTGCACGCGGAATAGGAATCAAACATTTCTGGGTTCACCCATTCATCAACAACACGAAGCCTTCCCGAAAGATATCGTAAAGCCAGCCAAACACGCGCCCACTAAAAATTGACGTGGGTCATCTTCCGTATGGTAAAAAAATTGTCCGAAATCCGATGCTCCGCCCAGAAGGGCATGGGACTCCAACGGAGCTTTTTGGGCAATATTTCAATCCTTTGTAGCGCATCTACTGTAGCTGGTAGTAGAAGCTGTGCACCTAACTTCCTGCGTATGTGTGCCCGCCTGCCTCATTTTTCTCTCCGCCCGACAATCAATGCAGAAGAAACTGAAAGCCAGCAGTTCGTTGATGGACCCGAAGTCCGACCACATCTTCAGGGTCTACCAACACCCACGTCACTCGCAACACCCACGTCACTCCCAACACCCACGTCACTCCCAACACCCACGTCACCCACGACATCTACTCAACACTACTCTTAGGAGGGTTCTTAACGATTCTTCGGTTTGTTGGAATATGCCGACTGGCTTTCGGAGAAATCCGAACGGACCGCCTGACGTTTCTTAACGTCAGGCGGTCCATTTTTTGAATTTCTCAGACTTTTCGGTTTGAAAACGTACAGCATTTACACACCACAGCCTTCAGGCAGGCGGCAGCGCCAGCGTACAAACATGCAGAGCGACGAGAACAGCGGACCTACCGGCGGCAGGCCGCCGAGGGGCCATCGCCGACCCGCGAGATACGACAACACAGGCGAAAGTGGTGCTGCCTGTGGTCATGGGTTGGGTCATGGGTTGCAGCAGTCTGCTGCCGCCGTTGATGATGACAACGGCCGCGGCCGCGACCCTCTCCCGAGCCACGCCTCTCGCCGGCTGCGCGTGGCCGCCTCCGCCGCTGCCGTAGAAGCGGAGGGTTCGCGATGCCCCCTTACGATGCTGTCGCAAGCTGCCGGGGTCGCCGGGTTTGCTACCACGACAACCACCGCAGCAGCCATCGCCCGCATCACGGAAAGCGGGTTCATCTCCAGGCTGCGACGCTTTCGCCGCCTTTGCTCCGCGAAATCTGCAGATCCACAGCGCTTTCCGTGACCATCCATGGTCTACAAGCTTACAGGCGACACAAGCAAGCCACCTGGGGACTGTCCCCGAGATCTGGAGTGCGAGAGGGTGCTCAGCGTGCTGGCGACTGCAGTGCAACTCGAGTGCTCCCATTTCGGAGTCATTTCGGAGTTTCTCTTCGGAAAATGCCGAAAATGAAGCGGCGCCCGAAAAATTCCGACGCTTCATTTTCAGCATTTTCCGACAAGAAATCGGCATTTTCCGAAAAAGTAGGGCGCATGTCGGCATATTCCAACAGAACAAATCTCGTTAAGAACCCTCCTTTTATCATCTACGACGAAGGGGCGCCTTCAACAGCCTCTTCCTGACACGTCATCCCCAAACAAACATTGTCCACACCCACCCATCCCGGAGTTTCTCAACCCCACCAACTTTTCGAAGGAATCAATAAAGCCCGTGAACGTATCGCCTCGTTGCTCCGTGTATCGCATGTTACCGCTGCTCAGCCCGTGCCGTGTGTGGAGTGTTGTTTCCCTCGATAGGTTCATCAACAAGTCACCACGCAACCCTTTCAACTCCCGTAATAGTCTATAGAAGGAGACCATCACGCATCTCCGCGCTCCAACACCCTCCTTTTGCCAAAATACGCGCCCCCCTCCTCTTTCTCCGTCCCGGCTTTGCAGGGATGCGAGGTCAATGGCCTAACGACTACGGCATGCACGACACAACGAAAACACCCCGCGTCTTCATACCAGCATCAATCGGAGGCCGTCGTCTTGCCGGGGCCGGCGTTCGGGGTATCCTTTCGCCCTGCCGCAGGTTTCATGAGCTTGACCCCGAACCCCCCCCCCCGCCGACCTTCAAGAGCCCCTTTTGGGGAGTTCCGGCTTCCTCGGAGGGCGTGATAACCCGCGCCTTCAAGCCCTTCACCGACCATTGGTGTCCTGGGGCCAGCAAAAAAAGGGGGGGGCGGGGAGGTTGATGTATTGTGGAGCGCCGGGACCATGTACTTGTCATTTTTTTGAGCTCTGGCGTTTTTTGTTTTGAATGGAGTAGTATCTGTGGTGGGGTTTCCTACCTAGACCTTGATAAGTAGGTCCTCGATCCAGTCTTCTTTCGATCGGAGATTTCGTGAGTCAGAGATACGAAGCAAGATGTGAAGGAGCAGAGAGGAGAGACAAAAGGTGTGAGGAAGAGGCACATCCACGCAGCTTCTTTGTGTAGTATTGCAGTCCGCCGGTGGAAGTCTCGTAGCAGTCACCTGCAGGAACCACAAGAATAGCCGTGCCCGGTCGGGCTGGCCCGGTCTTTGTTCACAGTGAACGCACACGTACGTAACTTTGTTCAATAGAGTCAGCAGCAGGACAGTACATGTACCGACCCCCACATTTGAACGTCTTGTTCGTTTTTTTCGGACCCCCTGGCCGTATCGGCTTCCCCTTCAATAAACCGAGCATCTGCTCTTCATTTTCAGCCACAGGTTTTGGCCACAGCAAAAGCGGGGTTCACTGATCTTACCAGTGTCCAGGGGTCCCCGTTTCGCCCGGTATTTTTTCTTGTGTGGAGGGTGTGAGATACTTCACATTTATTCTTGGACTGACACGCAGTAGTACACGGATGATCAAGCCATGTACATGTTCGGTACCGCTTGCTAGACTTCAGGCCAGCGGCAGATCACAGCGTCAAGACTAGACGTTCAAAGATGGCATAGGGCCTCCACGATACGTCAAACGCGAATCCCACCTCCACAGCAGTAAGTCACTGCTGCACCACTCCTGCACAATGGGCAGCAACGACAACGAGACCTTGCACCACTTGAGACCCTCTACTGCTGTGCGCGAAGCTCATCGCTTATTGTTGGCTGCCCCAAACCGAGGGCCTGATGTAGTTATGAAGTTCAACTTTCGACCTCAATAACAAAACGTCCCACGGCAGAGGCGCAGAGGTCATCCCTACTAAACTCCCTATCATCTACAATCTATGCCATTCGAAGTACATGTATCCATTTTTCGGTAGCGCCTGAATACAGGTAGCGCTATTAAAGCACTGAAGAGCTTGGCAGTTACTACTCATTTTTCCCACTTGAGAACTTGGCGCTTCATTGGAGCCTCGAAAACCTCAAATTCTAATAGCTTGAGGACCGTCGTAAGCCGAACTTGAGCACCATTTTTGAGCTATTGTAGGTTAAGAACCTACACCAAAACCAATATAGCGAACATTCGTAGCATGACCCTAGGAGTACGGTAACAAACCCAGCCTCGGTCTGGTCTAAACTAGAGGCACTTTCTGCTTTAGCCTACCACACCTGCTTCCGGGGGGTGGTTGAGCCGTCTCATTACGACTGCCTACGCAATACAAAGCAAGCTTAGTTTCGAAAACTCGCTGGCAGCACGCAGACTCTAGCCCTAACCCTAAGCCCCAACTAAGCCCCATCTACACTTTATCCAGATTTGTTACTGAATTTGAAAAATCTGCGTAGACTACTGCTGCTGTCTTCCTAGGACTCCTCCTGTGCCGAGCTTGGCGGTTTCATCTCTCCTTCGAAGTCGTCGTAGTCAACGAACACCACTCCTCGACCCTCGAAATCGATCGTGTTGGCCACCTGTCGAGGGAATCACGACACCATTAGAGGATACGCGTCAGCGTACCGCCAATCTCATCAGTGTGTCGCTAATCTCGTTATGAAATCAGAAAGCAACGCACGTGTTTAACATACATGTCCACGGGTAGACATCCTCCAACAACATCATCGATGTAAACCGGATTTCTGACCACTCTTGTCCTAGACATCCTCAATACTCAAATATCTTATAAAGACTCGGAATAAGTCCAGTACCCAGCCGGCTTTCCTCCACTTACTGAAAAGACTCCACCACATCCCGTTCGACTGTGGGTATATCTCGAATGGGTAGTCTTTCTGTACGTGTATTTATTTATTTCTCCTTAAATCTAAGGAATCTGAACCATTGACCAATAACCATTCTGGGCACTTTGAGGGTCACGCACCAACCAAATCGGTTCGTCGAGCATTGGAGTGGAACACATGTTGGACAAGATGGTAAAACTTGAACCCCTCCCCTTCTGCTAGTGCTGTGGTCATATCTCCAAGGGGTGTATCAGCCTTTCTGTGGTCGTACTTTCTATTCAGATGGCAGATTTTTCGGGGAACAACGCTTGAGTGTCTTTTTCTTCACCTTCGTGCCGATCCCGGGAACCTCCCCCGCAAAGAGCACGTCCCCTCCCCCCGTCTTGGCGCCTCCGCTCGCCGAAACCTTATCGGCCAATGCCTTGGTGTCTTTCGTCAGGACTGCCAGCTTCCCGAATGTTCCCCCCTATTGTGTTTGACGAAAGAGAAAGAGGCGGCAGCATCATAAGCAACAACAATCATGAGCGTTTGACGAAGAAAGCGGGAGCGGCGGCAGCGCCGTAAGCAACAACGATCAACAGCGTTTGACGAAAGCGAGAGCGGCGGCAGCGTCGTAAGCGACAACAATCAACAGCGTTGTTCGACGAAAGCGAGAACGGCGGCAGCGTCGTAAGCGACAACAATCAGCAGCGTTGTTTGACGAAAGCGAGAGCGATGGCAACAAACAACAGAGTCGTGTTCGCAACAACCGTTCAAAATAACAAGCGCCAAACGACTCTCGCCGGTACAGTTTTCTCTACCGTTCTTCATAGTGTTCTCATCACGCCTAACCGTAACCCTGCTGTTGCCACGCAACACGAGACTAGTCCCACAATCCCGTCGAGAGTGTCGGTTGGTGTTGAGTCACGCGTCGTCGAAGGGGGAAAGTGCGAGTGGCTACTCAAGCAGGAGTCTGAATACTTCATCGCGCTCATATCGGAGTCAGCAGAAAGACACCCTCGAGGGCGGACACGGTAGAATCGGTTGGCATTCCCGAGCCCAGAATCTCCCCAACCCAACAGGTAGTGATTTCTTGAAAAACAAAGCAGAGGGTGTTGCTATCTCTCTCTCCTGGAGGGGTGAAACCGTCATGCCTCGAAAAATGCCCGGTCTGTTACAACGCTCGTCGGCATAATACGGTCGCCCCGGTGGTCTAGTGGTATCCTCGTAATCCGCTAGCTGCAGAGGTCGTGAGTTCGAATCCCCATGGGGTTAAAAATTTACGAAATTTGCGGGTGAAAGCGAAACATAGCTAAAAAAAGCTCTCGTGAGTACCAAACTTCGACGTTAGCACCGTTGACGAGGGAAAGGGACGGATGGACCCTTCTCGCGATAAAATAAAATTCAGCACGCACCGCAGGAGGAAGGTGGGGCATGAAATGAAATAAAAAGGAGAAAAAAGCCCTGGTGTTTACCCCCTCCTGTGTGACTCTGGATGGTTGTGGTTGTACGAAAAAATACACTGAAAAAGTGTAGTACTCTACATATGCTGAAAAGTGTAGTACACGTCTCACCACGAAAAATGGGGGGACTATAGTACACGTCTCACCACGAAAAATGGGGGGACTGTCGCCATAATAAATAGGTCGAAAACACACCCACACACATAGTACCCTGAAAAGCCGGCGAGCCTCTGTGCTACCACCGACAGATGATTGGTATCTAGGAGACAACGAGCGTTACTCAGCCAAATGCCCATCCTGTCCACCAGCACGTTGGTACATACCAGGCACGAGGCATGCAGCAACCACGTAGAACGATACGATCGACAATACGATTTCGTCCCCATGGCGAACAAGACTGTCAGTCAGTTGCACCACCTACTCCGTACACCGGGGGTCTCAGATTAGCGAGCCCTTGTATAGCGACATGCCCTGTTATAAGCGGCCACACAGGTAGTATAACTGCTGCAACATAATTGTTAGTTCGGATTAGCGACCTGCCCTGAATAGCGGCCGCATTTCGTCGTGACCCTAGGGGTCGCTAATCTGGGCCCCCCGCCGTACCTCAAAAATCTTGGAGTCGACGGGGTTAAGCGCCACCGACACGCCTGCCTTGTCGTACCCAGAAAGACGCAGGGCGTCGCCCGCCAGCGGACCCAGGACCTTCAGCAGGCCCGCGTCTTGCTCCTTCATCCCCAGCACGTTCTGTCTCGCGTACAACCGACCAGAGCGGAACACAGCAAGACATGATGTGGCACATCAGTAAGTACACAAATATTGGATTAAAGTATGTAATCGGCTGAGTTGGGGTTGCATATGGGATGAAGCATCGAATCGACGAAGTCGGGGATAGCGAAAAACTGCTTCTCGTCGTAAGCGATGCGCACCGTGATAGTCCATCCAAGCCAACAATTTTGGCGGCGTTGACTAGCGCTTTTGTCCACAAATCGTATCCTCGACTGCGACTCGCGCCGTCCAGGTACAGGGCACTCACATTTCTGCTGCTACTGCGAGTAACTATCCATTGCGTTTCTGCTGCCTCGAGTAGCCATCCATTCCCGCTATGGCCATTTGTCTCCCTTACTAACACTGCTGAAAAAAGTCTCATTCGATAAGTACGCGGTTCGGGTGCAAACACGGACCCCACTCGATGCGACTCGCCGAATCCTCACGGGCATCGGGGTTGGGTTTTCGTCGCTTGGCAATGACGTTGTAAAACAAGCCGCCCCCCCCGGTGTTTGCCATCGGGATTGGGTTTTCGTTGCTTGGCAAAGACATTGTAAAACAAGCCAATTCACTTCGTGAACTCGGCAACCAGGTTACCGGTTTTTTTTACCTCCGTTTTTTTTTTTTGGCGGTAACCATAATGGTGGTCGAGTAGATCATGTTGTGCGGAGAACCCGCTCCGCGCAAGGGGGATGATCGCACCACGTTGTGTTAAAATGGTCAAGCACCCTCAAGGCAGTTACACAGTGCTTACAACTGTCTCTGGAAGTGAAAGCACCAGAAAATAAATTAATTCATACGCAGCTGTCATCCGTACGCAAGGAAGTAAGCACAAGATGCCGAAAACCCTTAGCAGGATGCAGCGCACCCTTCATGCGACTCGCCGAATCCTCACGGCGCTTCGCGCTTGGTGATGTCAGAACCTGGTCCGTAGAGAACCCGGCGTGCTCCGTCCCCGCTTAGTATGGGTGCGAGGTCAATGATCTAACGACTACGGCATGCACGACTATGAGTACACCCCCCCCCCCCCCCCCCCCCCCCCCCCCCCCCC